CTAAACCAGTGAGCTATCCAGCAGTATCTTAATGAAAACATATTTATTCTTATAGTTATTTACAGAGAGCATTACCAAAATAGTGAAGTGACAGGACAGAGGGTGTTTGAGCTTATATTCCTGTACAGCAGAATGCCTTCACAACATTCTACCAGGCAATCTTAAAAGACAGGGGCAATCCAAATAAAAATTGTAACTTTGAAACTAGACTTCAAATCAGCAAAAAATTTGCTAGGTACAGCAGATAGTCTGAAAAAGGAGTCAGATTCTGGGATTTTTCCCTTGCTTGGTGTCACTTTGGGAATGAAAGTGAGCACAAGAGGGTATATCGTAGATCATCTTGACTGCCGACACTGGTGTATCAACATTCTTGCTGCCCTTTGCTATGTAAAGCTTGGTATCCTTTCTCCTCCTGGCAACGCAAACACAATATTGTACAGCAATTTCAGGCCACTTCCTAAAATTTTAAAGTGTGGATACCGAAGCAGAATATCCCACATTCATAAACTGGAGGCTTTTTAAATAACTAAGAGTATATGAGAGATGGATACAACAAATACATTGAGTTTCAAATTTCCTTTGATACTTTTTAAGTCAATCTCACAGTATATGACAATAAAATAAAAACATGAATGAAAGCTTGTGTTTGAGGAAGTATGTTGCACAGGAATATCCAAGGAACATTTTTACCTATTTGCTTTCTGTACTGATCAACTGGGGTTCTTGCAGAAGATGCATCTTTTCTGCCCATGTTTCTGTATCCAAGAGCTGTATAAAGAAAAAGAAAAAGGTTGTAACAACGTGTAAGACTGTTTGTTATGTACTGTGAGAGGCACTAAGTGCTATTCTTGCAGCAGAAAGGCAGGCTATAAATATCCAATAAATAAATAAATTACAAATAAGTAACTTTCACAGATTGAAAATTCAAAACATAAATATGTTTCCGTTAGACCTTGGAGATAATCATCCAAGTTATGCATTACACAGGACTGCTGCCAGTATCCAACACTTGCTTTCAATGCTTTTCCAAACACTAAGACTGCTGGCATTACACAACATAAGACAAAACAAAAGTATGGCAGCACCTCTACAATTTATTCCAGGACGAGCTTTTGTTGATTATAATCCACTTCTCCAGATGCCATCCAGGCAAAGCAGACTGTGAATTCTTTCTTTCCTTTCTGTTGTTAGCTAAACAAACTAACACAGATACTCTTTGAAAACCCTGTATAGACTAGTACATTTTCAGATTGTCAGGTGGACACAAATACAAATTGGATCTTCTGCATAGATTTCTCTGGGTTGGATCCCAACGTGGACAGGCAAAGTTCTGTGTTTGAAATGTGGTCCTCTATTCTTCCTCCATGCTGCAGTACCCTGCACTCTCCCCCAAATCCTTTTCTGCGGACCCAGAGATTACCAGTGGTGTGGCATGAAATGGGAGTAGGGAATTGTGTCTCAACAGCCTTCCCTTCTTCTTCTAAGCCTCGTGGCCCAGTGGTTAAATCGCTGTACTACAGCTAAAACTGTGCTCACGACCTGGGGTTCAAATCCCAGGTAGCCGGCTCAAGGTTGACTCAGCCTTCCATCCTTCCGAGGTCGGTAAAATGAGTACCCAGCTTGCTGGGGGGGCAATGTGTAGCCTGTATAATTAAAAACTTGTAAACCGCCCGGAGAGTGCTTGTAGCGCTATGGGGCGGTATATAAGTCCAATAAATAAATAAATAAATAAATAAATAAAAAGTGGAAGCACCTGCTGCTCATGCACAGGCCCATTGAGCTCCAAATCATTATGATCAAAACCACATCACATGTTGCTTTGCATGGTGCAATTTCATACTGCAGTAAAAACAAGATGTATACACCATAATGAATCTGATGTTTCTATGGGAAATCAGATGTACAGAAGTATGTGAACACAGCTGTCATTTATACTGGCTTCTTATGTTTCCAAAGTGTACACTACATGACCCAGCTGTGCCTGTCTTACTAGCTAAAGTGTGTGCATATAATAACCCCACAGAATTTTGGATTAGCATCAAGGCATCATCTACAACTGAAAAACATAAGCTGATGGACCTGAGGAGCAAATCTGGCTCCTCTTGAAAATTCCATGTATCTATCTATAAAGTCAAGATGACCTCACCATAACCCTCTCTCTCATCAATAAATATAACCCACCTTTTCAGACAGAATTTTCATAACAGAGTCCTGCATGCTGGTTTTTAGCTTACTATGTTTATTTGTAAAGTTTTAAATGTTTTCAATCATGTAATGTATGTTTAATTTTCATTCTGGTTTAATTCCCTTTTTAGTGAATCATTTATTGTTTTTTTTAAAAAAAAATCTACTTGTTTTTATGTTGCGAGTCCCTGGGAGTCCCCTCAGAAAGGCGGACTAAAAATGATACTAAATAAATAAAACAAATAAGCAATATTTTTAAATTATGCCAAAGGAACTACCCTCCAGAAGGACTACAGTATGTTGAAAATCCAAAAGAGGCTACATATAAGCTCTTGTATTAAGGATTTAACTAGAGATGGGCGTATTCGAATACGAATATCCCCGCACAGGTGGAAATAACGACTGTCCACTCATGCTTTAACCGCTGCCACCAGCTCTGTGGAGGCTTCCTATTGCACCATTGTCCATAGTCGATTACCCAATCCTGGGAGTAGGCAGGATGACAAGCCTCTCTGCTAGGCTGGAGAGTGGCTAATCCATTGCAGAGAACAATGCAATAGGAAGCCTCCGCGGAGCCGGTGGCAGCGGTGAAACCCTCGTTATTTCCACCTATGCGAGGATATTCGTATATGAATACCCCCATCTCTAGTTTTACCTCTACAGGCATACATTACTCATGGAAACAACTATAATGGAGCTCTCCCCATTTTCGCAAAGAAATGCTAAAGGTAAAGGTAAAGGTTCCCCTTGACAATTTTTTTGTCCAGTCGTGTCCGACTCTAGGGGGCGGCGCTCATCCCGCTCTTCAAGCCATAGAGCCAGCGTTTGTCCGAAGACAATCTTTCCGTGGTCACATGGCCAGTGTGATTTAGACACGGAACGCTGTTTACCTTCCCACCGAGGTGGTCCCTATTTATCTACTCGCATTTGCATGCTTTCGAACCGCTAGGTTGGCGGGAGCTGGGACAGGCGACAGGTGCTCATTCCGTCGCGTGGATTCGAACTTACAACTGCTGGTTTTCTGACCCTGCAGCACAGGCTTCTGCTGTTTAGCCCACAGCGCCACCACCATGCTAGAGAATTGTTATCCTCCTCACCAAACTATAGTTCCCATAACTATTTGTGAGCAGCTATGGCACCAAGTGCAGGATAGCTCAGTGGTTCAGGTGACTGCCTATGGAACAAGAGGTTGAGAGTTCAGTTCCCCACTCAATTCATAGCGTCTCTTCCAGCTCTGCAGTTCTAAGAGTATTATTATACTTATTATTTGTAACAAGGCCCATGTACTAAGATTTAAGACAGTAAGAATATCACAGCCTTGATATGACAGAAGAAAGGTGGCAACATCTTAACAACGCAAAGGCAATGAGATAAAACAGTTATGTGTAACATCCATCGTTTACTTTATTCACCAGAAGTAATCGCTTTTCATTTTGCCATTTTCAGTTTCAATAGCATTGTTATGTTTCGCAACAAAATGTCAGCAGTAAAAAAAAATCACTACACTTTTGTAGCTGCCAATAAACCACAGAATGGAAAATAATTTCAATTTTGTTATTTGTTTGTTTATTTTTAAGTTTGGCCTAGTTAATACGAGCCACAAAGACTTTCCTGGGTGTCTGTGTGGCTCAAGCTGTCACAGCTTTTTTTGCAGTAAGCAAGACCTCTCAAAGTGCTGTGACTTTTCTTTGTTCTTCAAAGCTGTGCAGTAATCATCATTCATTTCAACGGCTTTGATGGTTAGATAGCAAACTCCCAAGAAACCCAGGGAGACATTAGCACATACAGCCGCAACGTCTAATAAGACAGCTATTTGCATAAAAGATCAGCCACAATTTAAAACATCTTGCAATAGCTGTGGAAAGGGAATAACAGATCTATATTAACATGTACAAAATCAAGATTGTTTTCACAATTTAATTCCCAAGGGGTCATAGCTCATCACCTTCCCTTGTAAAAAAAAATTTAAAAAAATAAAAATTCTTCATCCCCTATGGAAAGAACTTGCTATGAGCTGAAGTTAAACTGAGCTATGGATTAATGAGAAAATATATTCATTATTTATGAATCCTGTGCAGGAATGATTTTCATTGTAATCACTGTACCAGGGGTTCTGAGGCTTGCAAAGTACTTTGAAAATAAAACTATCAGCCCTGTATTAAACAATGGTTTTGTTAAAATGATATACATACTTGGTGTCATTCCAACTAAATAAAATACATGAGGACCAAACAGTATCACTGTTGTGCATTTAAACTGGGGGGGAGGGGAAAAAAGGAGGAAAAAATCAGTTTCTCCAGAAAAGGAGGATCCGGCAGTAATTTTTGGCAAGATTAAGACAAAAAAGGAATAATGCCAATTTTTATGTGAAAGTTTCTATAGATCTGAAAACACACTCATTTTTCAAGAGTGTGTTGGCCCATTCAGAGTGATCTTTTGGAACTATCTTTGTGACACCACATAGTCAAACAATGTCTTGATGTGGTTACTGCATTTACCTATATCAGCAAGGAGAAATATAAAGCCTTACATATGTTGTTGGACTACAAAACCCACCATTTTTGCCATCTGGCCACAATGGCTATTACAGATGGGAACTGAGATCCAAAAGTATCTACCAGACCAATTTTCCCATCCAAGAATTATCCATAGGCTACAATTGCTTATTTCAAGGGGGGGAAAAGAATAAATTGTACTCAAACCTTATCCTTTTTTAATGGACCTCACTAGGAAACAAGCAACCAGGAAAATAAAACGTGCAACAGGAGAGTTTGAAGGAACATTCTGTTCTCCACCTCTTCAAGCCTATGATGCTTGCAATGAAAAAGAAGATCCGAGATGTCATTCTGTGCAGTCAAGTCTCTTCTGACTTATGGTGATCTTAATGGGGTTTGCGAATCCATGGGTTTGAATCCCTGCTTAGTCATGGAAACTCACTAGGAGAGTGGAACTGGTAAAAGCACTCCTTAAATATCTCACTTACTTTGAAAACTCTAGTACAATCATTATCAGTTCTGAGACTTGACAGCACCTAAGACACATACACAATAAGGTTTTTGAGGTATGTGAGATGTTCAAGGGGAAGTTCACTATGGTCATAACTTTCAATGACCTTCCATGACCAAGTCAGGATTAGAACCCAAGTCTCCTGAATTTTAACTCTCTATCCGGCCTAATACACGACTACACTTTTTAGTCTTAATGAAATAATACAGTGGCAACTTGTGCCCATCAGGTGCCCACCTGGCAGGGAAGGAAAGCTGAAGCCCACAATGAGGTTAATGAATTCTGGCTTTGTTCCTTCCTTTACCCTTGCATCAACAATACCCTCATAATTAACTTTAATTGAATTGAAAAATAGTCCTTCAGACAGCTTCCACATTACTGTTCTGTCTATTTGATTATAAATATATGCACACTTAATTTGTCTAGTCCCAAGTAGAAGGGTGGGGGCCCGCGAGCCCTTATGGGCCAATCTCCTTCAAGTTAATATTTAGCTGAATTTGGAGATATAAATACTTGCATCTTTGGTGGTAGAAGATGCCCCTCATCGTACCTCCTTTTCAGGATCCCAAAGTTTGAAAAAAAAGTGTAGACAAGTATGACAGGGCACCCCAACTTCCATAATTGAGGAAGGCAGAATCAGGGCATGCCTGTCACATGTGAAGTTCATACATGCATCATTTTTTTCCAGATGCACCAGGTAGGGAGATGACACAACCGGCAAGCAGTACAGGACCAAAGAGCTACAGCAGGATGTTGTGGTACGATTCTCCCACAGAACCAAACATACATCAAGTTAGTATATATATAAGGTGGCTAGCAGTCTTTTTTTAAAGGAAGCCAATCCTCCCTCTGAAGGCCTTCCAGAGGACAATCATCCTTTTGAAAGTGTCTTCCACTTGGAGGGCTCTCCAGCCTAAGTCTGATTTAAAGGGGCGGGGGGAACCAAAGAGGGAGACCAGGAATCCAACCAGTGATGTTACCCATCCACTGTCAGCACCTAAGCACCAAGCAAGCTCTGAGGCCACAGATGCCAGAGTCTTCCCTGTCTTAGTAAAATGCACTGTACTTCTAAATTATACAGTAACACCATTTTCTAAGTGTACATACAATGTGCATAATTAGGAACAGAAGTGTATGCAATGTTACACAAATCATACTGATCACTTCTCTTTTTTTTAGTGACGCAGATCATCCCTTCTGGCCACTGTGCAACCAGCCGCCCAGAACTGCAGGGCAGCTAGTTGGTTTAGGTAGGGAGTTCTGTTCCCCACTGTGCCTCCCTAACAGGGGCTGGACTGGAGGATCTGCATGCCGTGGGTCTCAAACTGGGGTCCCCAGATGTTCTTGGGCGGCATCTCTGGGAGCTGCAGTCTGAGAACATCTGGAGACCCAAGTTTGAGAACCACTAAGCTATATAGCAGTGGTCCCCAACCTTGGGCCTCCAGATGTTCTTGGACTTCAGGTCCTAGAAATCCTGGCCAGCAGAGCTGGTAGTGAAGGCTTCTGGGAGTTGTAGTCCAAGAGCATCTGGAGACCCAAGTTTTCAGAACCACTAAGCTATATAGGGTCCCTTCTCTGCAGCTCTTAAGAGGATGGTGATTTATCTTAAACCACCCACCATACACGAACTAGAAGACTATTTGTTTTAATCTTTGAGGGTATTTGGATAGTGGGGAACTATCCGCCAGAGAGGGAAGGGCCACGCGAGAACTCAGGAGCCATATCCAGGCAAGGACCCAAACAAGAAGCCTCCGGATCCGGCAGCCGGCGGGTGTGCCTCCTTGCCACGTTTCGTTTTCAGGGGCTTGTCGCTGTACCTGGAGAGCGGGGGAATAGGAGAAGGGAAGTGCTCTCCGAGGGAAAAAAATATATAAGCCCCCGACACCCCCACTCTCCTCCCCTGCAGGTATTTTATTAATAAGAATAATTCTGCTCCTAGAACAGCTTGATTCCACCAACGCCTTTTCCGTTACCACGCTCTGTGCAAAGTCTCTCTCTGTGTTGAACTGCACAGCTTTCAGGCTCTTCCACTTCCTGGCCTTCCTGGCCTGAGGCTTCTTCTGGGTCCTAAATCCAGCTGTCTTCTTCTTCTTCTGCCTTGGTTCTTAAGCCCTCCCTTCCTTTTTTGCACAGAAGCAGTGGACGAAGCTAAGCGAAAGGCAGGTGATTTTTGCGGAGGCAGGTGATTTTTGCGGAGGCTGCTAGACGAGGTTGAAGGGGAAGGAACCTATTTTAGGACGCATGCATGCTCCAACATGTTCACTGTGGTCCCATATGTTTCAATGAGCTTCCATGACCAAGTCAGGATTTAGAACCCAAGTCTCCTGAACTTTAACTCTCTATCCATTACACCACACTGGCTCCGCAGTGGAGAATTAGTGCGGGGAAATTGCCCCAGAGGGAGACCACAACTGTGATACAAGGACATCTGCAAGCAGGATCTGAAGGCCTTGGGAATGGATCTCAACAGATGGGAAACCCTGACATCTGAGCGTTCAGCCTGGAGGTAGGCGGTGCATCACGACCTCTCCCAATTTGAAGAGCCCCTTGTCCAGCAGGCCGAAGCAAAGAGGCAGTTATGAAAGCAGCAAAATCAGGGAGCTGGACAGGGGACAGATTGTATTTGTCTCCAATGTGGAAGGGATTGTCACTCTCGAATTGGCCTTCTCAGCCATACTAGACGCTGTTCCAAGACCTCCATACAGAGGACGTTGCCATAGTCTCTCGAGACTGAAGGATGCCTAATAAAATGAATGCTCCAACAGTTGACACACGCCTTGTACAAAGACTTGAATGAGAACGGGCAAAGAAAGCAAATTAGCATGGTTTATAATCTGGTTGTGTTAGGGACGCTGATCTACGGATTGATTACTATTCCGAATGGTGAAAGCACAATGTACTCACAACCACAACAAGGGGGAGGGAACAAACTGCAATCTTTTCTAATATACACTAGACGCATGTACTTCTTTCCTTCTCTTTTTGTAACTCCCTATGGAATTTAAAGTCATAATTTACATGAGCTGTTGACTTCAGTTAGTCTACTCCACCTACGGGAACAACAAAGAGTTCTAGATCAAATCCAGCTTGGATCATCTCTGGAGGCAAAAATGTTGAAACTGAGGCTGCCCTACTTAGGGCACTGGATAAGAAGAAAGGATTCTCTGGAAAGGGCAATAATGCTAGGAAAGGTTGAAGGCAGCAGGAAAAGAGAAAGATCAAATATGAGATGGATTGATTCTGCAAAGGAAGCCACAGGCTGGAATTTGTAAGAGCTGGGCAGGGCTGTTGAGGACAGGACAGGTTGGAGGCAACTTGACAGCTTGTAACAGCAACAACACCCTGCATATGACAACAGTGCGATTTTACATGTCTGGCTGGAAGTAACTGAAACAGGGGCCCCTAAATGGTATTTCAAGAACAGAAGAGATTATGAAGGTCTCAATACCTCAGTACATTAACTTTACCCACATTAAGAAGGGCTTTCATACAACTTAGGCTCCAAGTAATGCTTTCAGCTTGTTTTCCTCCTTTTGTTATTCTCCTCTGTTTCTCTGCACTTGTTATTGTAATAGTTCTGTTTGTCTCTATGTGACAGTTGCTGAAAAACTGCATTCAGGGTTCTGACCCTATTCCTGTTACCTTTTATTTTTGCTTCTTGCCTGTCCTTTACAATTTGAAGTGTTTCTTCCATTATATAGGTCTTTCTTTCTTCCTTTTGCTATAGGAATTTTCTTTTTGCATTATTCCCTAATAATACCTCTCATTTCTATCTGCAGTTCTTCTGGCTTATGGTCAATTGAATTTAGTAATGCAATTCTGTTCTTTACATGGACTTTAAATTCACTAGGAATATTTAAATTATGTTTTGGCTTTATTATTTTAGTGTTATTTTTTAACTTTACTCTAATGTTGGATAACAGTTCATTATCAGTTCCACAATCTCCTCCTGGTCTTGTTTTGGAAGGGAGAATACAGCTTCTCCATTTCCAGTTGCATAACCTGTCTGATTTCTATACTGACATCAGATGATGTCCATGTGCACAGCTGTCCGGTTGTTTGAAGCATTTATTTACAATAAACAGGTTATTGGCTTCACAGAACTCTATGGATCATTCACGTACTTAATTTCTGTCCCCTAAGCCAAATTTTCTAACAGCAATAGATTCTTCTTTGTTTCTTACTACTGTGTTTCAGTAACCTGTGATTATAAGTGTATTTTGTTTTGGTGTGTGATCAATTTCTTCTTGGAAAAAGCTTTCATTTTCACCTTCTTTAGCATCTAGAGTTGGAGCATAGACTTGAAGGTTATGTTGATAGGTTTTCCACAGAGTCTGATTGATAGAATTTGCATTATACAGTAGTGCCTAACTGGCTGTGCTACATCTTGCTACAGTATTTAAACCACTCCATTTCTTCTGCGTTTGTCACTTCCACAGTAGAACACTTTGTAGTTGTCTACAGCAGTGGTCCCCAACTGTTTTGACACCGTGGACCAGTTGGGGGAGGAGGGGGTCAGTGTGCGGGGAAGGCAGGGCACCCCCTGCGCTCATATGCATGTGCGAACGGGCAAGGTGCACTCACGTGTGCTCATGCACAAAGGGCACTTGCACAGGCACTCGCACACCCATGTGCAAAGGGGTGGAGGGACACTTGCATGCATGCGCAAAGGGATGGGGGCACTCGCGAGGGCATGCACACACTTGTGCACATGCGTGAAGGGGCTGTGAGTGAGGGAGTGTGTGCGGGGGGAGTGGGAGATTAGTCTCCTCAGCCCAGTCTGGCCCAGCTCACAGACTGGGGATTGGGGACCCCTGGTCTACAGTTTGGGTTAGATGCAGTGAAGCCTTAAGATCCCTTAAGCACCAGCAGCAAGATGGGAATGATGTAACATATTTCAACTCCTTAACTTTGTGCAATGGAGGCCTTTTCTCTATCAATATTATAGGTGGAAGAATGGTGTTTAGTTTGTTTAAGAAAAGTTGTGTAATTTATGTAACACCTCTAAGAGAATATATTTCAGTCCACTACTCATGAAGTCTGCATTATTTTTACATTTTGAGGAGATTTATTGCTGCATCCTCAGTATCTCAGGCATCACCCCTTGCTTTTCATTAATGAAAAAAAATATTGTGAATGATTCAACTAATAAAAATGAATATAAGTGCTATAAACTACATGGCACTGTGCCTTTACATTTATGGCCCCATATAAATGATTAATAAGAATAATAAGATTCAAAGGGACTTCCAGTGTACATAGCAATATCTACCAGCACACAAATTTTCATGAAAATTAAACTGGATCTTGTATAATGTATTTTGGTTCTGTGGTCATAGGAGATACTTAAATATTAATACCAATTATTTTTTATACTAAAGATAATAAAACTTTGAAAGACAGAAAATGAATTAAGAATTTGTGGTTAATCAAAGAATCCAAGTTTTTAGACAGTCATCCAGCATAAAAATGTATGCATTTAATTACATATGTAGGTTTCAATATGAAAAGAAAATGATGTATTTATGGGTTTCCATCTGTTTTACAGAAAGAGTAGGAGGGCAAAACCTTATCTCATGGAGCAGGTTAAGCTGTAGTTCCTGCATTTGGCAATAAAAATGCAGAGCTGATTTTGGTTAATGTAGTTCCCAGGCAGGCCTAAGTATTTTGGTATCTGCTAAGTTGAGGAAATTTCCAGTAATCACTTGTTTTTTCTTCAGTGATGGGAATTCTTCAAAGATGCAACCCAGGGCAATTAGACATAATCATAGAATAACAGACTTGTACAGGGCATATAAGGTCATTGGGTCCAATCCCCTGCTCAGTGCAGGAATCTGAGTTAATGTGTGTCTGAGAAATGGGTATCTAACTCTCTTTTGAATGCCTCCACTGTTGGAGCACTCATCACCTCCCATGGTAAGTTGTTCCATTTTGTACTGCTCTAACAATTAGGAAGTATTTCCTGATATTCAGCCAAATTCAGACTTCCTGTAACCTGAGCCTATTATTATGTGTCTTGCACTGTGGAATAATTGAGAACAGTTCCTGCCTGCCTAGAGTGGTCTTTTAGGCCAGATGGGCGGGGTATAAATCAAATAACTAACTAACTAACTAACTAACTAACTAACTAACTAACTAACTAACTAACTAACTAACTAACTAACTAACTAACTCTTTCAAGTATTTGAAGAAGGCGATCATATCTCCCCTCATCTTCTTTTCTTGAAACTAAACATGCCCAGTTTTTTCAGTCTTTCCTCACCAGGCTTGGTTACCAGTCCATATGAGCCCATATGAGCATATTTATTTCCCAGTGACTAATCAGAAAACAAACCACACAGAATCATAAGACGGGGAAGTGAGGAAAAACGTAAGTTATGACGAACAGTCATCTTTCATTGCTTGAGCGAGGACCTATTCTAGTCATGGGCTAAGCAAATCTTCTGGTTTGACCCAAAAGCTCATAAATGGCCCTCCTCACCACTTGAAGTAAAAAACTGAAATCATAATAAACTCAGTAATACGTTTTTGCCCTTTTAAAACATTCACACTTATTGCCTTAGGCAGACACACACACCCCAGCTCAGCTTAATTGTAGCGACAGCTTCAGTTACTGTTAAGTTCTGCAAAGAAATAAGGGTCTCTTCCTGGAACATTGTCATGATCGGTCTGGACAGTCACCTACATAAAATTAACTTCTAGAATTGCAGAACAGAATTGGTTAAATTACCCCAAAGATAGTGTGCTAGCCTGTAGTCTACATAGTTTTCAGAACAGGATTAAAACAAAGGGGTGTAGCTCTGCTGATGGATGTTAGTCACACAAACTAAGGGCTCCTCTAGACAGGCATATAGCTCATTGTTTGAATCACCTGTTGTTTGAATCAAATTATGGCCTCCACACGTGTTTTGATTCAAGAGCCATCCATCCTGCCCCTTTGTAGAGCTTTCCTGCTCCTTTTTGGCACAGTGCTAGGGCTATTGCTTAGTTGTACCCAAACAGAGCTATGGACAGTGTTATCTGAAGTGATAACCCTGTCACATATTTGGTGGGTTGTAGCAT